GCATGAAGAAGTATTCATCAGATATGACGGATGTACATGTTTACTTTCCCTCCAGTTTAATCAATAAATAATAATGCATATGATATGATATACATAAAAAGTTGTTGAACTGAGTAGAGAGTATGAATTGGCATTTCATGCATTTCAGTAGTTACAAGAGATTTTTGAAGGTGTAAGCTGTAGGAGTCTCCTTGTGAAGATATAAATGCATATTATATTTACTTATCATTATTATTTTTAGTATTCTCTATGTTTGATAATTTATTTTCTAAAGAATTTGGTGCCACCGGATAGGTGGATTTCTTCTCTGTGCCTATTGAAGAACCATCATCTAAACTACCTTGACTACATCCTAATTGACTTTCTGTATATCCTGGAATTGTTCCAGGATGTAGATTATAATCAGGATGCAGTAGTACAACTGGTCCATGTGGTCCTTGTCCGTGTATCTGTCCAGGTGTACTCATACAATTCCAGTTTTGCATCCATGGTGATTCAAAGCCAATACGATGAATACGTGGGTCAGACATATGTAAACTTGTTGAAGCGGTTTCAATGGATGCTGCAGGTCCAGCGGTAGCAGCAACTGCTGCACCACTGCCTGTTACTGCTGTATTATACTCATGTGATAACATATGCGGTATCAGCTCATTCGCCTGTTCTTGATTCACCTTGACACAGTGGGATTTGCGTTGTTTCAATTCATGTAGTATTTTTGGAAAGCATAAATTTGGTAGGACAGCACAAAAAACAGATAGTAAGCCACTCATAATTGTGATGACATACGCCCAACCAAGTTGACAGTGACCTAAAGTGTGTTTTTTAAAGGGAAATATAAAAAACACAGAAAATTAAGGATTACATCAATTCAGTTTCAAGGTTGTAACAAGTCAATATTGGTAACAGAACGGTTGAAGGTGGTCTGTGTAGATGAAGGTTTTATTGCGAGTCGATATACGTTAGAGAACCATTGTAAATCCGGCAATCGAGTAGTGGATAGCTGTTTCGTCAGCCTAGTTTGGGACTAATAGGCAATAAACATCCGCCACCAAGGTTCGAATCCATGACCTCCCGGTTACAAGACAACCTCGTAGACCATTAAGCCACTGGGACCGGATCGAATGACCAGCCTGTGAATTCCAGCTCCTATTAGTTCGCAGTATATACAGCGCAACCGACAAGCAATGTCAATGACAATGAATTTTAAGTATGCGTTGAAGATGTTGCCTTGTAAGTAGGGCAATGAAAGCTTCGCAAATTAACTATACAGTTGAGAGAACACAACTACATCAAAATGTTTCCGTCTTCATATATCTATCTATCTATCTATCTTGATTAGAACTATATTTTTATTTAGGTGTATATATACTGAAAGCAAGAGGACAAAAGCCATTCAACCAGGTTTCGTGCTTACTGGCACTGATCAATTAGGCTTATCTGCAGCCTTGAGGGAACTGATGTCCCTTTAGAGATTCAAACCCGCTTCACCAAGTGTGCTGTAGTGAAAGACGTCGAACTGAGCTATTCGCAATTGTGGTCTTCTGATGGAATTCAGTCAGCACCAATATTGTGGAATGAACTTATGACAGTTCCTGTTCCCGTTTTACAAAATCGTTTCAACTGTACTATCTGGACAGACATTTCATTGATATCAGTCATGAATTTTTTTTATTCCTTTGCGTTCTGTAACGACAGAAGAATTATTAAGGAAATCAACCATATTATATTTTGTACATTTGTTACAAACAACACAGTCTTCCGATTGGTTGTTTCTCACGTAAAGTTAATCTTTCATCTATTTGTGACTGTTTCTTGAATGTCAAATCCTCTATATGTTAACTGCATCCGCCTACGCAAAGTCTGCTGTGGTCGGTTTTGAATCAATCTTTGTTCACATTTTCTCACGACAAATCTTGAGAACGTAAATATTGACGTAAATTATTGTCTACCAATTTGGCTAGTAGACAGCTCTCACCACATTCCGAGTGGAACATATGGCTTCAAGCTTGAGCTTTGGGGTTTCGACAGCAGTGGCTTTATATTTTTACGGGGTGGGGTTGCTAGCCTCGCACCCAGCCTTCCCACTTTGCCAGTCTTATTACCAGCTAAATGTGTCGGCCGGGGATCGAACCTCGGACCACGTACATGGTTGGGTAGCTTTCTACCTCAGCACCACCAACGCACATTCGCAAATTAGACAGTTTGAAAATTTTAGACATAATCAATAAACATTACAATCCAATTCTTATCGTTAGATGGTTGAAGGAAATCAGCAGGAAGCCTTCGACCTAGGTTTCGTCCTGGTTGGCACTCATCAGTCAGCAGGGCGTATCTGCTATCTTGAAGGAACTCATGTTCATCCTGAAATTCTCAAGTTCACTGATGTGATTGCTTTCACACGTTTGAAACGGGATTTATGTATTCACCAAAAAGAAGGATATGTCAGTCATTCTTTGTTCTCGTGATGTAATTTCATGTCTTCTCCTACTATTTCATTGCATATCATGTTCGTTCAGTCTCTTCCCTTACTTGACTTGAAGTCATTACATTATTACGTAATTTGTTAATTATATATCAGCTACCTTATCTAGCTATAGTCTTTCTTACGCAATCATCTTTTCAAAGTGTTCAGACGTTTTCTAATCAACCTGAATCTTCTGTGCAAATTTGTTGTACATTTGAATTCTCCTGTTAGCAGAAATCGTGTTATCTCTGTACACATACATGTGGTCGATAAAAACCGTGGAGTTAAGATAATGCGTCGGTGGCATAGCGGACAGGACGCTCGCCGACCATGCACATGGTCCGGGGTTCGATCCCCGGCCGACGCACTCCTTTACCTGAAAGGGAGAACCCCATCCTGTAAAAAATAAACACTGCTACAGAAACTTCAAGCCTCTAGCTTGAAGCCCTATGTTCCACTGGGGAACGTGAAGGAAAAAAAATCTTATTATACTCTCCAACAATTGTGTTACCTTTATTCAAATTCATAAAAGAGGGTATAAATGTATGAAGATTGATTGGACACTAGTAACTAGTGTGACTAGTGTTTCGGGTATCCTACTGATTTTATTCATTTGAATGGGGAATCGGCAACAAGCCCATCTTCATTCTGAAGTAATTTGGTAGGTGGTGACTAGCAATGTAATCCAAGATGCGCATTTCTTCCTATTCGGTACTCATCATCCGCATGTAACTGCACTCTCCGGTGAGTCAGTGATGGTATCCCCCCTCCCCCCATAAGACTCAAACTCAGTACTCGTAGTTTCACACGCCAAAGCGTTATCCACTAGACCACTTGAGCGACGAGAGCCACCTCTTGTGCAACGGGTATCAGTTAGTTTTTAACTCGTTTTGGACTTCGCTTTTCATTGATTGAACCGAAGTGGTCGTGAGAACACCATCAGTCATTGAAGGAATGTAAGTACATCCGTTGATGAGTCCCAAATAGGACGAAATGTCCATTATCCTGGTTTCCACTGCTAGCCAGCATCCACCAGATTACTTCAGGTTAAATCCCCAGAAATCTTAGAGGCATCCGTACATGGAGCCGACATATCATCAGAGGCCGAACACTTCGGTCCATCAAATCAACGGGAACATTAGAGTTGAATTAGATAACACTTTTTTATTCTGTTATGTAGAACTTGTCATGTCGTTGGACGCGGTAGGTTGGATCGAAAGTGGAAGTACCATGAGCAATTAATATATATGTTCATACTCTGCTCCTAATTTTAAAAAGAAAAGCAGATCTTTGCTCTCACTGTTAGAGTTGTCATCAAAACTCGCTTAGCTCATCGATAAGTTATCTAGTGATATAGTCAGCTTTAGAGAAATATTAAAAAATTGGCTGAGTACACACGAAATAATTCGCAAATGCTTAGTAATTCATAGACAAGTAAAGACACAAAGGCTTCCCCTCTACTGCAAATAACAATAGGGATGACTATTATGAGTAGACTGTTTAAAATTTATCGGATGCATACAGTTTGATAAAGATACGCCTAAATTTCATTTAATTTCATTTTAGAAGGGAAAACACTACTTTTATCAGAAAATAAGTAGTCAAGGTAACTGTTCGAACAAATAATGACTGATTAAAAATTCATTAATAGATAGATAGATAGATTGCACAGATACAGACACACGCAAAGCTGATAACAGAATTAATTCAAACAAATGAATTTATCGGTAGAAATATAACGAAATTTCATTTAAACAAATTCGTTTTCCTACCAGCAAAAACTGGGTCAACAAAAAGTGAATAACTCTGAAATTTTGTAGTCATATTATAAATATTCATGAGTTCGTTTGTAGGGACTTGATTTAATTAAAACCTAATCTGATGCTCGCTAGTGACTGGTTACAGACAGATGAAGTTGACTGGAGTTCTGGTGAGAAGTCATGACCAGTGGGGTCCACCTCAGTCGAGAGTGAGGACAAATACTCTCCAGCAATGACGCGCTGGCTGGTGCCAGTTACGGTAAAAGAAGTCACGAATTGGTGGAAGTTAGAATTTATGGGCTTGTGGCCATTGAGGAGTCGGGTGCCACTAGCTGAATCGTCACCAAGATTGCTTGTCTTGTAACCGGCAGGTCCTGGGTTCGAAACCTGGAAGTATGGTGGGGGTGCGTGCTTCCGATGAGTTCGAAAGTAGGCTGACGAAACAGTTGGCTGTCCAGTAGTGCAGTGCTGGTTTTCAATGGTTCTTTAACTGATAGCCATCCGAAATCAAACTTGGAATATATAAATATATACTTATATACATGTATACAATTGTTTGAATTTTAAATTTGTAGCCATTTTTACTAATTTCGGTGTAGACTGCGTTCCATACCGATATCATCTAGAGAATCGTTGGGAAGTAGAGTACGTTGGAAAGTTGTTTCGTACCAGCAACGCTACCAAGGATCAAACGCTGAACCTTCAAGTCACGAAGCGAGCCTGTCGATTGTTCAGTTACTCGGACGTGGTCTGATAGCCAAAGGACTCTAGCCTCTGTCAGTTAGTTCGTCGTACGGAGATAGCGTCAACCAGTACCGCTGGTGGGCATTCGCTTCACACCCACCCACCACACTAGATCCCACTAGGTACAAGTTCTCAGTAGAGCTTTAGGACGTCAATTTCTTAGCAAGAGAATTAGTAGAATTTAGAAATTTCTGAAGTTTTGGATTTGCAGGGAATATGATTATTTTCAGTTCAGATCTCATCACGAATCAACACCAAATCGCCACTGTAACCTTAAAGTTCAAGGTTCAGTCTCTGATTCTGTCGTTATTGATAACACTACCGAAGAGTCCCGCAGAAAAGAGTAAAACAGCTTTCCAGTGCTCTGTCGTTTTCAATGATCCACTAACTCATATCAAATCGTGATGAAATTTACACTGAGATATTTTAACCATGTTTTAGACGAATTACATGTCATGCTTTTTTTAAACTTCTTAGATTACAGGATTTCATCATGAGATGATATCGGTAGGAAAACCTGAAAGTAGTGGAAGGTTGTTTCATCCTGGTTTAGGACCCTTCAACAGTACGTATCCACCGTCAGGGTTCGAACCCAGGCTCTACGAGCTCGCCTTGTAACCGGAATGTCCTGGGTTTGAACCCTGGTGTTGGGTGCGTACTGATGAATAGTCCCAAACTAGGCTGACGAAACAGCTGTCGAGGATCCCCAGATTTTCAAATGGTTCTCTAACCAATGTCAGTTCATGATGAAATCCTGTAACCAATCAAATCAAGTCCCTACAAAACAGTAGTTGAATTTTAA